GTCGGGTACTTGTGCTACAAGTCATTCCACATAAAAGGCATAAAAATTCCTCCATATAATTTAAAAATCCCCAAAACTATGAATGGAAAACACTTTAAATAAGTAAGTAAAACTTTTAGCTATAACTCTATTTTAGCTATATACAGAACAATTTGAAAAGAAGGATCCTGATTACACCTTCACAAATATACTTTAATACGGAGCATAAAACTTCTGCTCTTTTGAGGAGCATAGATGAGGACAATTTGTTATTCTATCTGTGACACGTAAAACAATCATAAAGAGGGAACTACGGTGTCTGTTTCTGCGCTAGTGGACTCCATGTCCATGTTGTGATGGCTCCAGCTGGCGGTCCTAAAACCCAGTCTGCATGAATGAGGTATAACCAGGTACGGAGAGCGAATCTCAAAGCGCTGAATATGACAGTCTTGTCTGCTCGAGCATAGCGGCAATTAATTACTGAAGGTGCTTCAGAGCCGTTTCTCCTCCATGGGAGAGATTAAGATGGTCCGGTCGGGCTTCTGTCACAGACAGGATTGGCATGCGGACTCTGAGACTATCCTTACATTGAGAATACAAACATGTCCGCAGAGGCTCACACACAGGAGCCGACTTCCCTTTTTGTCCCACGTTTAATCTAATGGCTGCTTACTGCTCACACATGTGCAGACACACCGTATATGATGCTGATGACGATGATGCATCATGATGGCTGTCCGTCTCAGACCGATCAAACACCTCCCACCCCATCCCCGTGGGCCCTCGCCAGAATAAAACATGGCGATAAGACAATGGCGCTGTATTGATCGCGCCTGGCTGAGACTCCTCTGAGGACAAAAAAAAAAAAAAAAAGAAGTAGAAAACAAATGCACACACACAGACTGCCATCTGTCATGGCTGTCTGCAGCCCGGCCACCATATTCCACTGCAAATGGGGCAAAACACACAAAATAATAGACTAAGGGAGAGGGGGAGAGACAGAGCGGGGAGCTGCTGCCCGGGGGGAGCCGACACAAACCAATGGTTATCATTTTCGTCCTCGCCCGAGCCGCAGCTTCCACACTGTTTAGACTGTCCCCGTGGCTCACAGATGGGACGGCCTTTTAAGGTGCCGGTTGTCCATCAACTCCTGAAATGTCATTACATGTGCGCCAGCTGGTGAGGAAGGTGGCTCCTGTACTTTTCTAATTAAATCCAGAAAAAAACGCGGAGGAGAAGAATGCATGGCAACAGAGGAAACATCATTAACAATTGGAGACGTATCTCCCTGTTGGATCGGTGTGGTGAACTGAGTCAGAGATATCAAAATCTGAGCCGCTTCTGTTTTCCAAGGACAACGGACGCACAGGGAAACTCGCATAATAAGTGCTGGGATGGGAAAATGTGATCACAAAGGAAACTTTGGTTATTTTCAGTGGTTATTGGTCGTGACTTTGGTGGGTCTCCTTCACAGTCTTTGAGGAAGTTAAACATGTCTCAGTCGGTGTGAAAATAGCCTCTGAAAACAGGCCTATAGGCTGCAGCTGAATGGTGACGTTCTGGTTGCTCTGTTCTTGCGACAAAAAATAGGTGCTACGTTCTCCTTTTTTTATTTCCTGTTGAGGGTCACGGAGACACTATCATATACCCGCAAGCAACATTAGCATAATTATTTTACTAAGCTGCTTCGACTAATAATTTCATATTTACAATGGATCAAATGTGTAATGTGAAAGGGGGTCACTTGTAGTGACAAACCCAGAGAAATTCATCACCACCTCAGCTCTGTGGAGCGTGTTTTTTTTCTTGTAACTCACTGTTTTTGGCCCAGCCTTAAACTTTATTGTTTTGGTTCACTCTCAGCATCATCAGTGTTGTTTCCAGATGCAGCAGCCGGGCGTTCTGAGCCGAAGAGCTCTTAAAACCAACAGTACACCGCGTTTCCAGTCCCGAAAAAGCAGACAGACACTTAGCAGCATTTAGCAGCTAAAGAGCCAGATAATTCTAGGAGTTAGTGGGAAGCAGAGTTTGCCTGAACGAGCCGAAAAACAACGGACCAACTTTTCTCATTGTTCAGACGGAAAGTGAACTTTAGATGTGACTGCATAATAGTCTCTCAAAAAGGTGGAAGTGTCTTAAAATAAACACTGGCAGGCAAATCCCTTTTCTCTGCATTTGGTTTACTTCTAAAACAGTGTCTGACTGAAGTTGGGTGCTGCCTGCGGGGGGGGGGGGGGGGGGGCAAATGTTGCAGCAGTGGTCGGACATAACACACACAAGGTAACTATAATCTAACGCCAGCAAAAGTATAAATAACGAAGTGAGCCACCTAAGAAGCAGATGGGAACATTTATATTTGGGTTGTGAGAGATTTATGATCCTATTTGAGGTGCTACATTTCACTATTGTCTCGGTTAAATAACACAGCGGCCTGAAGGCAACATAATTCACTTCAACCCTGAAACAACTCAATTAGGTTGACATTTTCAATTGCTTTAAAAAATGTATTCTGATTTGTGGAGCTCATTTTAAACTTCATGAATAAAACAGATTGACTTTAAGGGGATATGAATGGGAAATAACAATATTCTCCTTTAAGGAACCAATCTCTTGTTGTCCCTTATGCACGCGGCCCTACAAATAAACGAGGCAATTCATTGTCCGTATCCCTTTTCTTAACCAAAAACCAGACCAGAGTCATTTACTATCCCCAGTAAATAATGGGTCGTACCATCTGTGTGCCTTACCTGTGGCTGATCTGTGTCCCCCGTAGATTGGACATGGTTTCTTCCAGGTTCTGCCGCAGGTCGGCGATGTTCTTCACCGTCCTCATGCGTCTCGTCTCAGGGTCCTCTCCTAGAGACACGCATTTTTACATGATTTACTGAGAGGTTCGGAGACACACACACACAGCACCCACCCACAACCACAAAGGCTACACACGCAATACAAGAAGCGAGGAAGACATCTGACATGCAGCATTTTATTGAACGTCTCCGTAGGGACACGAAATGACGACAGATCACGGCGACAGCCGGCAACGGGCGCCCGTCTCTGAAACCCCGTGCTGACAATTGGGAAGCCGTTCAATGAATCGGCCTGTCAGGCTGCGTCACACACATTTTCTTTTTTTAGTCTGAGAAGTGGATACATTATTTTATGCAGCGCTGACATCTTTCCTTCAGGCCAATGCAGAAATGTCGTACCGTGACACTACACGTGCTTCGTCTGTTAGTGGGGGACACAGACGTGCCCGCGAAACTCTGTCAGAGCGCTGCCACCCTCGCCCTACATCAGCATGCAGCTAAGAATCATATGTTTCATGTTCGTCTAAGTGCCATGTTTACAGAACTTCACTTAGGCCTATTCTAAAGTGTGCTGCCAACAAGCACAGGGTGGGCAACACTTCGGGACTGCGAGCTGTGGGCGCAGACCAAAGTATCTGCTTGTCTCCTCCAGTCAAGCCTCTCTGCTCGCTCGTCAGGCTAGCCTATGGCCACAGGCCGGGTAATGGGTCAATGACGAGTGGCATGAGAGGTATAAATGGACGGTGGTCACACTGCTCTTCCGGGTTGCAAGGTGCCGCCGGAAGTCTCCGTGGTGGAGACCAATGAGCCAGCAGATCTGGTGCAACGAGACGACAACACATGGTAAGACGAGTGCGAGGAGCATGTTGCTGTGATTACAGCGACCCCGGACGAATGGGAGCGGCGGCGGCTTGGCCTCCAGCGACTTCTGTGGTGCAGCTCAGTGCCAGAGAGGAGAAGAAATGCTGAGGTGTTGATGCCGGATTATGATGCAGGTCGGTGTTGGAAAGAAGGAAATCAGCTGAGCCAGTTTTCCCTGGATAAATATATCAATTTCAGAGTTGCCCTCAAGGCATTTGGATAACTTTTCCAGCAAAAATGCACAGACTGTATACATTTCATTCGAATAACAATTGTGCTCTGCATTATTTCTGCAGTTCCTGTCTTTTTCCCGCCACACTGTAAAAAATGACTTGATTTAAACAGACCAGCTCGACACTGCCGCCTATTCTACTTTAGCGTACGCTGTGTGGCGGCACACAAAGTTGGAGTCACCTTGTCCAGCACTGTGACACAGAGTCGCTTTCTTTTACATGCCGTGACTATCTGTCCTGTAGAAAGACCTTTTTAAATATAGGTGACATCAACTGAACCTTTTTCTTCCTTTTACTGCAATCGTCTTTCTTTTTAAATGCTATAAAACTCCAACGAATAAGCTGAAAATGCTAGGAGGCCAGTAACCGTAGCAGAGCGGCTGCCAAAGACAGGATTTAATACTGGTTAACTTTGTCTTGGTCACATTGTTTGAAGACTTGTAGATTCAAACACTGTCTGCATTTTTCCAAAATGAATTCAAGACATGACCTCAATTATTTGGTATCAAACTGTGTAATGACCTCGCAGTCTGGCATAATTGAGGTCATGTTTTGTCTTCGCGGAGCAAACAGACGGAAGATTATGCGAGGTGGAGGTGGTGACCCATGCTCTTCACCTCCGACCCCGTATCAGATTTTTGCACTATATGGCCAGTAATTTGAAATCCGTGAGGCACTTCTGAGCTAAGGAATGTGTGTTGGCGGAAGCCCTGAATGAGTTCCAGTCTCATCTAAAACAGAGCTGAGAGACGAATGATATGCTGTCATTCCCCAGCAGGTTGATGGATCTCTGCTGCCACAAACTCAAAGCACCCCTGTGATCTGATGTTCTCCAATTCTTCTTCCTTTTTTCTCCCGTCTTCCTTGCTCCTCCTCCTCCTCCTCCTCTCCTGTCCTCTCCTCCTCTCACCAGGGCCCCTTCGAGAAAGATCCAATTACGATCCCATTATAAAAGTGACATGAGGAGATCTGGCCCTGGAGTCGCCACCATGAACAGACACCTCATGCAACATTGAGAAGCGGCCAGAGGCGTGTGTGTGCATTTATGCTTCTTTTTTTTCCTGTGTGTGTGTGTGTGCAGGAGCAGAGGTCTCCCCTGCACGTTAGAGTAGAGGCCATCTGGGAATTTTGTGCAATGCAACTGCAGCCCCACACACAAACAAACAAACATATGCACGCACGCATTGGTGTTAGAAAAAAATACACACCAATACCTGTGAGCGATTTAACCAGCTCAGTTCCCGTTATTTGGATCAAGGAGAGCTGCAGGAATGAGCTAAGCTAAATTCCCTTCGTAGAGGCGACTTATACATGCGTGTAGCCGTGGTTTCCACTTTGCGGCGCCGCAGAGAGGCGAGAAGCCACGAGGCATTCATTTGGATTCAAGCTGCGCGTCCAGCTCTCGGCTCCCAGTGAGCCAAACTGAGACCAGGTCCGTGGAGAGGATCGAAAAGGGCACGGACGGAAGGAGAGGGAAGGTACACATGCACACATGGGCCTAGAAACACACACATATGAGGTGCAGAACGAACGCTGCTCGAGATAAACTTGCAAACGACTGTAATTTGGGACTGACACATTTACGCACACACGCACTGAAGCAGCGGGTGCTGTAGTGCCAGTTCTCCCTCTCTCCCTCTCTCTCTTTAAATAATGCATGGGATCTGGTGCCGATGCCCCTCGCTCTAGCTGAATACTATTAGGGAACCATCCCAGTCCTCTAATTATACAAGCGCATGCCAACACACACACGCATATGTACAGACAAACGCACAAGTAGCCAGCTCTACCGTTGTTACAGCGGTTTGTCACAAATCAGCCTGAATGAAGCTTTGGCTGTCAGTCACTGGAGTGTCGCCATGGCAGCTCACACACACACACACACACACACACACACACACACACACACACACACATTCAGTAACAGGGCAATAAACAAACAAAATAAATAGCGTGTGGATATATCGATCCGTCTGTCTATCTCTGTGTGTGTCTATCTAACAGGCGTCGCATCATTAATGCGTATCAACGACAACGGCTCCCAGGGGGCCTGAAAGCTCAAACCGCCACATCAGCAGCTGGATACTTTGAAAGACAACTTTGACAGGGTGGACGAGTCCTTTAAGGATGGAAACGGCTTCTCAGATATCCGGACAGGATATCCCCGAAACACTTGTAGCAACACGCGTACAGAGGCATGCACCTGTATGCATGAACAGAGTGAGGATAAACGCACACGCAGGTGTAATAATAAGCTATTGATTATGTTGGCTGCGTGAGTCACAGGCGGCGAGGGAGGGTGCAAGGAATACAAGCAGTGCTTTTTCAGTGGGTGTCGGTGGAGATTTTTTCTTCATCTCCATCTCAAGGTATTTCTTCTTCCTGCTGCATCATGCCGTGATCCCGCTTACAGGAAATCAGCAATCTGCCCACCGCCAAAGCTCTCCCTGCTCTGCTGTGCATTATAATTTTGCTTTGTCTGTAGAGTGACAATATAATCTGTTGGAATAAACGGTCCATCTTATCAGCTGAACATCCCCCACCTCCCACGTCCCCTTCCCTCAAGCATCAAAGCCAGGTTTGTTACATGGGTGCTCTTTCCAGAATCACACTGTGGCCAGCTTGACGTTAATTCACAGCACGACACTTAACAATGCTGCACACACACACACGGCAGAGAGCTGCATTTCCAGAGTGTGACAGTGTGCGGATGCAAGTGATAAAAAAGGATGTGTGTAAATCCGCCTGTGTCCATGACATCGAACTACTTGCTGCTTGTGTAAACCCTGTGGATGTACTGGGTGAGTGTGTGCGTGTGAATTGCACGAGGGAGGGTGTGTGTCCCGGCCCCGTCTTACGAATTTCTTTTGAATAATGTCTTAAAATGTTAATAGTGTGCCCTGAGAAATCGTCAAGAGCATTAAGAAAATAACCGGCTTATTGAAGGCTTTTTCTGCTTTGACATTATAATATTCTGTCCAAGTTTGCATTTTTTAACTTAACCAAAACTTCACATTAACAGGAGTTTTTTTACTTCCTGTACAAAGTTTCCAATTTCCGGTGTTGTCAAAGTAATCCTTTTTATTGTGCCTATGAATGTCCACATTCATGCTCATTTCATGACCGTGTTGACTTACGTGGGCGGGGCTGTGTGTGCAGCACCTGCTCCAGGTCGCCCAGCATGGTGAGGATCAACTCTTTATCCAGCTGAGCCGTTCCCTCGCGAGGACCTCCCCCTGAGACCTCCTCCTCCGCCCAGTACCCGCTGTCCTTCTCCCTGCCTACCCTCTTCCCGCCAGCCCAGCCCGCCGCCGGCTCCTCGTCTGAGCGCCCGCTGCTGCCCTCTTCGCCTGTTCCCCCCTCTCCCCTGGACGTCCGCGCCGGCTCCGTCCGTGGGTGGCCGCTGTACGACGCCCGCTGCGGTCGCCCGCCCGCGCCCGTGCACCGCCATGGGACTGGGATGAGGGAGTGCTCCGACTGAGAGAGCACCTTGGTGAGGGAGAGCGACAGGGATCGAGCCGTGGTGCCCTGCGCGCCTCCGCCCCTTGTGACCACCTCCTTCCTCGGGCTTCCTTGCAGGCTGCCTCCCGCCCGCTGTGTGCAGGACGAGTGCAGCGGCGAGCTCCGGGGTCGGGAAAGGAGAGGCGGCGGCTCGTCCAGCTCGAAGGAGTAAACCCGCTGCTCGCCGTCGCTGAGCAGGGTCAGGTTTGTGAGCGAGCGCTGCTTGATCCGCAGGTTGAGGTTGTCGGGGAGAGGCTGGGGAGGCCGTCGAGCCGGGCTGCCTCCCTGATACACCGAGAACTCTGCTCCTCTCTTCATCTCTGGCTCACCGCTCCCCTCCCTTTATCCGTCTTACCTTTCCGCCTCCGTGGGAGAAACTGTATATGCAAGTGGATCCACCTGTGCGCAGCGGTCCGCTTTACATCGTGGCCGCACTGTCACTGGAAGAGCGAGTGGAGTAAAGGAGGAACCGGGGGGGGGGGGGCGGAGGAGGAGGCAGAGAGATGCGTCCCACGCCTCCCGACTGAGCTCCAAGCTTTGGTGGGCTTGGTCGAAGATCAGAGAGGAAAGCTCCCTCTCAGGCATGCAGGTAGAATCCAGATCCATCCTTGAGTCGCTCCATGGTCACGGCGAGACGTCGAGCCGGACGCAAACACTTGTTCCTTCCACTCCGTCTCCCGTCCTCATGTCTTCTTCCTCCACCACGATCAGGGGCGTGGAGTCGCTACATCTCTCTTCCCTCACCAACGCGTCCTCTCTCCCACTCCCCTCCCGCGCTCTCTTTATCTTTTCCCCCTATTAAACGACAGCCTCTTTTCGCTCACTCTTATCTCCCACCCTGCGCCTTCTGTCTCTCCTTTAATTACCACCTCACCGCTACACTTCTGCTGCGCCCCCTTCCCTCTGACTCTCTGACAGTCCCTCTCTCCTCACAGCGGAGAACGAACGGGTGGTGAAGCCAAAGAACGGACTCGCATAGCTCTCGGTGTGCTTGTTCGTTCCTGCGTGCAGCCTGCAGTACTCCCTCTCTCTCTCTCAACCCTCCTTCTCACTGCTCATCACCCTCTCTTCCTCCTAATCCTTCTTCTCTCGCTTTTCTGCTCGCTCCCTTCCTCTTCCCAGCCCATGTCTTGTTCTCCCTCACACTATCCTCCACCCTCTCTCTTCTCTTCATCTCTCCATCGCGATGTGACAGTGAGTTGTTTGGACAGCAGCACCTGTGAGCTCGCAGCCACGCCGGCCGACCGACTTAATTAAATGCTATCTCGAGGAGCGAAAGCAGCGAGCCGGCGGCTTATCGCGGATCAACAATGAGACCACAGAACCCACGTACCCCCATCAATCAGTGCAAGCCTTATTAGCCCTGTTGCTATTACTCACAGCTGTCTTCCCCACATTGTTTAATCGTGGTTACCAATAGCTAGTAAGGAGTGGAAGCAGGTTGCCTCAGAAACCCTAATTAAGGTGTTCCTAATCGCATGTTCTTAAATGTCAATAAAATTACTTCGGAATGACTCAGCAGTTTTTACTATCCTCGTCTCCCATTAATTTCACAAAAAGCTTAAATCAACGCGTGGATAACGAGCTTGTACAAGTAAACTGAGCAGGCCTGTCATGTGGTTGTTTGTGGTATTTGCATACACTTGAATTTCCTTCCCAGGGACTCATTTCTGCCCCTCTGCGGGGCAAGAGTCGGGCAGTAAGCGGAGGATGTGAAACGGCCATGAAACGAGTGACAGCAGAGAGCGGAGCGTTTGAAATGGACCTCAAAACAAAGGGAACGGTCCGCGTCGCAGTCTAATTCTATCCTTCAAATGACGGGCTGCGGAAAAGCCACGGCCGAAGGGAAATGTCTGGAATGTCGCAGCCAAACCTGACATTCCCGAAACCTGTAATCATGCGCTGTTGTTTGTGCACGCTGCACTTTGTAGACGCTCAGAGTCTCTCCGGCTTCACTTTGAACTTGACGTCTTATTTTTTTGCCGTTGAGTTTATTGCTTGTTTGATTCATCGTCCATGTCACCCTCTGCTATTTATGTTATTCTAAGGATGGAGTTTCATTCCAAATGGCATTTTTCTACTAAACATGTAAAATCCAAATCATTTCAGAATATTTGGAAGCACATGATCTAACTCAATGACAAAATGCTTAAAACAGACAATACGGTGGATAATGGGGAATGTGCGGCAACACAAACCTCTTTAATGTGAAATGGGTTGCAGTTGTGACACTGAAGTCTTTTGCAAATGGCAAGATGCATTTGAAACAATGGAATGTGTCTGTGCCAGTGGTTTGTGTTGCCTGCTTTGAGCTCTCATCCTGTTCCTTTGTCAGAATTTGGAGTTTGTGGTTAGAAGCTGGTCAAATGTCCCTCAGCACTGACCTCTCAGCTGCAGAAGCTCAATTGCTCAGATGTCCACTGACCGTAGTTAAAGGACGATGAAGATGTTGGGAGTCATTACAAACAAACGGTAGGCTTTCTGTTCTGCCAGCAGCTTTCTGGTGCCGTTGAAAAGGATGATGAACTCAAATATAAATAATGTACAAAATATTGGATAAAATGTACTGTTTCTAAATGATTGCAGCCTCTTATCACTACACCCTTCTTAAATCAAATGATATCTCTTTAAGGCTTAAAACTCTTCCCATACCCAGTTTTCTTGCTCCGTTGTAGTGTATATGCGATGTGCATCCATTCCTCCATAAGAACTCAGATATCTGAACTAACACTTTATGAGCTTTGGATAAAAAAAAAAAAACATCCATCAAATGTCAAGCAACTCTTTGCAAAAGCCATCCCTCTGCTGAAGCTGAAAACAATAAATGATGTGTACGTATTGATGATGATGCAGAGCTGGGATTTTAAAAACACGACGGTGGCATGCAAGAATGTAAACAGAAACAACAAAGAGCCGCAGATGCTCCCTGTGTCCGTCTGTCAGCGCTGACCTTTTCCCTTCACCACATGGAACCGGCGCGGAACAGGGATCCCCCCAGTAAACACGACTAACACACACACACACACACACACACACCGAAAACACACTTACACACCAGCTGCACGACACTAGCACATTGTGCTATACACAGCAGTAGCCTTCAAAAAGTCTCCCATCCCGCAGCGACTCTTTAGCTATTCTGCATTAAAACCCCTGCAGCCTGCTCTCACTTAAATGTTATGTAGGGCAGCTAATCCATAATGTAATACAACAGCGTTAAAGTATGCAAAACCAATTGTTCTATTTCCTAAAGAGAGTAAATGCATCCTAAACACACAGAGGAGCATTGCAGCAGGTCAACATTAGTTAAATATGGACGCTGAACAGCAGATCAAGGTTAAATCCTGACAGTGTATAACCAGTATTAGAGGAGACAAATGTGTAATGCACATGGCATTACACACCCACACGGACAAATATCAAGCATGCAGAGCCCGCGGCATGTGTGTCGACCCGCTGTACCCGATATCTCCTCCAGGCACTGTTTGGCTGTCTTGCTGTAGACCAGCTCTCCCTTGGTGGGGCTGAGGCAGGGGTCAGATGGGGCCACCATGGTGCAGTCGTTTTCTGAGAATGTCCTGGAGGCACAGGAGAGAGAAAAATAACAACACGCAGCAGTTACAAAGGCGGGCTGAGATATCTGAGGAGCTCCACTGCGGCCGCTTCAAAAGGCTGAAAGAGGCGAATGCTGCTGCGCTGTCTGGTATATTCAGTCACTGCCAAACAATGGGATCGTGTTTTTTCAATACAGGTGAACATGTCGAAACTCCTTCAGAACAAAACTATCTAAAGGAGTTCACCCCACAACAATATGAATTGTATATAGTACTCCCCTCCATAAAGAAATGGCGTTAAGGAGAGCGGAGCGCCCGGTGCAAACGAAAGACAGCAAAGGTTATAAAACGGCTGAAAAACTTCCAGAAGATTCCTGTGCAGCATCACTGAAGTGTCCTGCATCCACTTGTGGGCTCATGGAAATCCCCAAAAATGATTTTGCTAAACAAAGCATTTTCGGATTATCCTCCCGTGAAGGAATGCATTGTGCATCTTCACTGGAACTGCTTTGTTTAGCAATAGTCCAGTGGAAATAGTTCAATTACTTTTGCTGTCTTTTGTTCATCCTCTAAGTCTTTTTGCACCGACATGCTTTAATTTTTTTGGGAATCTGCTCTCCTTTAATGCGACTCAATAGAAAAATGAGCTGGGAGCATAGAGAGCCTCGGGAGGCGAGTGCTTTACACCTTTTCCACCAAAATTAGCGCGTTTATGCAGGTTTTATTAAACGCAAGAAAACCCGCAAAAACTAGCCGATTGACTCCTGTCCCATTCCCAGTAGATGAATACGCCTTTCTGGGTGTTTTTCTAGTGTGTCACACTCAATTTCACAAACGCAATGGAAAACAGTGTAAGTAAACAGCTGGAAGCAGCATGGAGGCCAGTGAAGATGTTTCGGTGGTTACTTCCTTGTATTTATTCAGTCACTCTTCAAGCTCAGTTTACAATGATGTTCGAGCGCTGCTCTGGACGGAGAGGGGAGGAATTTGTGGCTAAGTTTAGGGCTGAGTGATATGGACAAAATCAAATACCACGATATCAATAGTGCGCCGATATTTTAAGGTTGACTATTGGTGCTTTCCAAATATATTTACACAATGAGATTTTGGATAAATAATCGTCAGTGATGTGGATATAAGGACTACGTGGGTAAAGGCAAATAACACAACAGCTAGAACAATCTGGTGAGCTCAGGAAATGACATTGTTTTACTGCACCAGGAAAAGAAAACCAGGAAAAGGCAACACTTATGCCATATTACGCTATCCAAAATATAAGACCATATCTGTGTATATGTGCTTCAACTTTGCAAAGACAAAATCTTATCATGACTATCTCAAGAGGAAATGGTTTGAGATCGTCAGCTTGTCATAATTATTTCCAAGTTCCTTTTGTCCCATTAGCACCATTTGGTATTTATTTATTATGGAATAAATACTATTGTCACATTAAAAATGTAGCATCACATAAATACACATTTGTCCAAGAAAGACCAGTTACTGAGAGATTCTAGTGGTGAGAGCAACAGCTAGAATCGTACCTTCCTTGCCTCCAGTCTGCTGTCTGTGTTTGTCGTGTTAAACAAGGAAAAGAGTCTGAATTTCTGAGTCCGTTTTTAGTCTGTCACATGTGCAACAGATGGACGCCTCTAAAGGGAGGAGGGGACGCTTTCTGTGAGGGCTTCAGAGTGTGCGCGTGAAAGGCGTGTTTGTGTGCAACTGCCTCTCCTCCTCATCCAGGAGCTGCATCACGGTCCGCCGTTTGTTTGCAGATCTGAAGAAACGAGGAGCGAGTCCAAACACCCTTCATGAGATAACAGTCCTACGCGGTGAACGAAAGAAAAACCACGTATGTGTAAACAGTCGACAACAAACCAACGCAAAAAATAAACCCGGTGACAGTTGATACACAATCAAATGCACGCACACACACAGACACAGAAACACACACAACGAAAAGCGTGCAAACTAACACTTGCAACCACGTGCACATGTAAACCCTGGAATACACACAGTAAAGCTTGCATACAAAAACACACAGACGGGTCTCAGCACAAGCTACTGTATAGTATTCATTCCCTGCCACACACACACACACACACACACACACACACACACACACACACACAC